TGGGGCACTGTAAAACTAAAAAGTTTGGGAGCTGTTGTTTCAATATCTTTATAGACATGCATGATGTTACTTCAGGAAAAGTTAAGAATTTTCTAAGTAAAATATAAATTAACTCTGAAAGTTTAAAATTTTGTTTAAATTATAAAGTTTCGTTGATTAACGCAGGAAACATAATAATATACCAACAATACAATTTCATCACCGTATTTCATAAGATCGTTTATCAAAGGTAGAAGAAATACGGGAGTGGTAGTGAGGCGGCAACCATCCTTGTTGTGCCATTGGGATTAGCGTAATGAAATTTCATCCCCTTAACGAAACAGCCCGCATATTACGCAAATTGCGTTCAACTCGGGGAAATTTGCAAGTAATTAATTAAATTAACGTTTGCCAAATTACCGAATGCGGAATGCACTAGAAAAAAAAAGATGAAGAAAAAACCCAAATTACGAAGAAAAATCAATAAATCCATGACTGCGTTTCATTGGATTTTCACACGATATTGTCGACACTTGTTTCAACGCGCTCTCATGTTTTTTTTTGTTATTCGCAATTAAAACGTTTCATCGTAATCCGATTGGAATATTTTATTATTCAGATAGCGTCATGTGCGTTCCATTTATTTTCCGCGTTTTCACCCTTGCTTTTCCACCCTCGATTAGCAATTTTCTCATCTGCTTCGCGTTCGAGATAAACGAAAATGTCATTAAAATGCATTAACCTCGGTGATTATCGTAAGGCGAGGCCAGAAGGGCATGGCCCTCCTACGAATGTTCTACGAAAACAAAAGCACATCACGTAATTGGAGGTATACATTAGAAAAACGCATTGCGTCATGCTGACAAAAAAAAAACAACTACCTTCATTAGAACCAATTTAGTCACTATTGTGTACAGGGATGGCGTTTTTCATTTGCCCCGCGTCAATCCGTCAATGCAATTTAATTAACACAACTGAATTGAGTACAAATTATACTTTTTTTTTTGCAGTATTACAACAGTTATTAAAATAAACATGATGCATCTATAACCTTCTCACAGTTTTATAACAATAGATTGTATTATACAAGGATGAGATTCTGTTCTTACTTCAAATCAAATTATAAATAACTATCATTTTCCTTAAAAAAAAACCTACTGTATTTCTTAGATTCTAGAAGAAATTATACCTCGAGAACTTTCAACTATATCATAAACGGACCAAACTTTTGAAATTATCAAACCGGACTATAGCTAATCCGGACTGATCGAAGAAAGACTATGCGAGGAATAGATGTATTTAGCATGTCTAAAGAAAATAGAAAAAATAATCTTTTGGAAGTAAACAGATCTACTTTATATAAATAAGATAAATGATATAAAATATAATTAATATCTTATATATTTTGTTTCATTATTCTTAATATATTTAATTATTTATTAAATAAATATCAGATTATTAAGTATTTCAATAAGTAAAATTAATTAACAAAAACAAACGATAATTATAGTATCTAAAGAATAAACATTGAGTCTTTCGTAAGAGGTACTGGAAGCAATTAATTCGTAATGACGATAATTACGTATAAATAACAAATTTAATGACTAGGCATAAAATTAAAATAAAATAAAAAAAAGTTTTATGCTTACAATATACAGATTTCATGTGAATTGTAATCTAAATCTTCATATATTGCGCACCTATAAGGGATCAAAATAAAATGACTATTTCTTCGTACAATGGATACCTGATTTTATAGTACACTGAATCTGAAGATGCCATTAGCTAAAAGGCATCGAATAGATGTAACAAATGATCGGATTGAGTGTAATGTTAATGAATATCCAATTACATTAGATACCTTTTGCTTGCCTTGTCGAATCTATTTTCCACGCCAAACTGATTACCAAAATCTATTTACAATACTGACGTGTTTAATGCAACCTATACAATGCTATTTACGTGCATTGGCGACGTCTGACGTATTCGTAATTCCAAATTCTGTGAAAATGTTTATAATTCAATCTGATATATAACACACCTTATATAATTGCAAATCCTTTTATAAATACATAATAAAAAAAACATATAAAATGAGATAAAAGTGATATAGTGCGTAATAAAATAATAGAATAGAAAAAAATATGTAACAAAAAAAATACATTACATATCTCTAATTAGTTAAGTAACTTAGCTTCTTTCATCAACGCACCTGAAATATGATATAATAAAAAATTATAAGATTAGTAGTAGTTTAACTAGTTTGAAAGCGTAATTTTGACAATAATAGAATAAAAACAATTTGATTAATTTATAAGAGTAAAAATAATAAATAATTCTTAGGGTACTTTTCAGAAACATGGCGCCAGTGGGCTACTAAGAATAATGCCAACGCCAAAAGGCTGACGCCCTAGGGTTATAGCATTTAGACCTGTGTTAAAAGTAGCCCTTTAAAATATAAACCTATAAACTTATTTTATAATAAAATATAATATTCTCTCAATATGTTTATTACTAATATTTATAAAATTATAATTAAATTACCAGTTAAACCATTAAAACTTTGATTTAAATTGATTATTTACGTTGTCATATTCTTTTTTTACTCTGTATTAAGGATGTTTACAAGATTATTAAGTGCATGTTATTGATTTCGCTTTAAAACTGTAACATGAGTACGACTGGTAAATATAGCTTGAACATCACATTGATGGCGTTTGAATAAATAAAACATAAAAAGCTTATAAAAGCAACTACTGAAAATACAAATTTACAACAAAAAAACGTTAAAAGGTTGAAATTCGTAATATGATTTAAAAATTGAATTATCATATAGATTTTTCGATCAATAGAGAATATATTTATGAATCAAGTTAGAAAAGACAACTCTCTAAATAAAAGTATTAATTGCGATTTAAATCTGAAACAAATTTAACAATAAAATCAAGTAAAATTGCATCAAATTTTATAGCATGGGCGGTTTTTTTAGATATTACATTTCACTAATGTAAAAAGAAACTTGATTTGAAATTAATGACTTTCTTCTTTTCCCAAATGCATTTAATTATTTTTTTATATGCACGTTCCAATAAAAAAGTGAAACACTTGAATGATTAATTAGTTATTTAATTAATTACTGTTAATATAAGAATTCCATCAGAGGAATGTAGTAGAAATAAAAAACGATGATTAAATAAGTTATATGATTGATGCATGTTTCATGATTGCCCATGTTTCAAACACAAATAACATCGTCGAATTCCTTGAATTACAAATGTCCATTTCCAGTGCAGCACGTATGGCTTTAACTGCTAACTTCGTAGGATTATTTACAATTTGATGTTTAAGCCAACTCCATAAATTATATATGTAAAACTTTTGGTTTTAGTTACTTTATAACCAAGTATTTGTAACATTCGTGTTTAAATAGTAGAAAATAAGTAAAATTGTTTAAATGTAAACACTAATTTCCTGTTATCATAAACATAAAGAATACTTTATTAATATGATTCAAAATACTTTACATTTTTAAATAACAATAATTGTCATTATTAATATTACAAAATATTTTGATTGTGTAATATACTTGTATAATTTATAATAAATCTTTTATCATTATTTATTTATAGGATGACGGAAAAGAGAGATCCCCACTTGAGATAACAAAAAACATCAATTTTGATTAATTGAGGTCAAATTGATAAAGACAAAAGTATTGATATTAAAAAAGATTTTGTAAAGTGATACATTTTAGTTATTGATTATTCTCGCATGAAAGTATCTAGATATTAGGATAAACTGTATATTATTAAAGATTTACTTCAATAAAATCAAAAATAGTATAAATAGAAATGAATCAAATATTGAAGCTATGTTTAAACCATACTGCAATGATTCATGTACTTTTTTTTAAATTTGACAATATAATGTATATAAAAACCAAAGTAATTTAACTAAATAATTTAAATGTAAATTAAAACTTTTCAGTTATTAATTGTTCAAAGGATACAAACTACACACTAATTTTAAAGTTATCATGTTAAAATATTACTTTGCACAAATAAATAGATGTATAAAATATTGGTCAGTAAAACTTAACCCTTGCATACTGCATACCTCATATAGTGCGGGTAATTGGTTCGGCCAATATCTGGGACTTTTTGAAACGGGACTAATCAAGGAACTAAATACATGCAAAAATAAAAAGAGACTTGACTGTATAAAGGGGCAAAATCGATCATTATTTTGTGTACTAATTTAGTAGAATTTATTTTGATTTTGCTCAATAAAGAATTAGTTTGCTGCACTATGCGAGGTATTGCTGTATTTGTTAATTAATTCGAATCAGATTGATAAAGATCGAAGAATTTAATTAAACTAAATGATTTGAATATTTATAATTTTCAGTTGTAACAAATAATCCATAAACAAGATATTCGTCAGTGATATTGAAAAGGATCACTTGAAATATGTATGGAGGGTATTAATTATGAAAATATTTTTTGTGAAGCAGAATAAATGTACGAAGCATATAGAAATTTGATCGAGTATATCAAATTCCCATTGGGAAATTTTAATGCAATCTGTGGATGTAGGGTTTTCGCCTTTCAGCGCATTTTCCAACGGGGGCGAAAAATAAAAAACGTGTTAGGAGACTCATCAATAGGTTATTAAGCCCGGAGGCTCCAACCCGACTGCATTAACAAAGTTCCTCAACTTCTTTTCTTATTTCTCATCCACATCATCCTCCTCCCCCGCCCTCACTTATTCATCTTCTCTTCGAAATCTCACTTTGCGTTATTGAAAGTTTTCAGAGGCATTTCCGACCGTCGATTTGAGAGACGGCCTTTGTTGCTCGTTACATCGGCTTTTATGTGGACTTGAATGTGCACTGTACGAGGAGAGGTACGTGTGAGTTGTGCAACACGAACGGTTTGAATGTCTCAATGGAATTATCGTCGAAGATGGAGATGGAATACAAAGAGTAGAATATGTATATATGTACGAATGGAATGACTTACGGGTGTGGCGCCTTGGGTGTCGTGGACCTCGAGGTCCCCGTTGGAAGCTGCGACCCTCTGTAGATCTGTTAACATCTTCTTCTCGGTGTGTGCTCTGGTATCGTCAATCAATTCCTGGGTCACGCCGCGCTTCGACATCTCACTTTCGATGTAATCTAGGGCCTGCTCATCCTCGCAAATATCATAGGGCATGTTCCCATCCGCATTCACCGCCAGCAAATTCGCACCTCGAGCTATTAATATCCTATTGGAACGAACAGAAAAAAAAGACAAGATAGGTACAGCTATTATTGATCACAGCACAAGCTCTTCGCACGACAAAAAAAAACATATTCAATTAATTGAAGCTTAAAAACAGCGCTCGCTTCTTCACTCACTTTAAGCTCATAATCGGCTCTCCGAACATAAGACAAAACATTCAATAATGAATCATTAATTTATAAGCAATAAGAGTAAAACCAATATACTTAAAGAAAGTAGATTAGTTGAAGCAATACCTCGTAAATAAATTTTAATTGATACATTCGAATAAAATAGTATACGAAATATTTTTTGTATATATTCACGTTTTTTCCTTTATACAACCAAATCTATTTGTGTGAGGTTTATATGGCGGAATCAATCATCCGCACTATACGAGGTATTGCTGTACTCGGTAAACATTTAGAAACATGAATAGGCTTCGCATATCACCTAAACATAAGGTATTACTTAACAAGTTACTTGTCAAATATCACGTAGAGTAAGCATGTTTAAATTTCTAAAGAAATACATATCACAAATAATATATTTATCATTTTTTGTTATCTTTTAGTATTCTGTATAATTACTCTAATAAATATTTTTATTGTTTAAAACTAAATTTGATAATAGATATATTAGCGCTAACAAATGACTAATTTCAAATCTATATTGATTTAGTTGAAAATTGGAGATTATTGTTAAACATGGAGTGTACATACTGCTCTGACATCAATGATGAATATTAATTAGTAGCAGATAAGCATACACGAATTGATTGCACCGACATGAAGATAATTAATTATTGGATATTACCTCGAATCACGTAAACAATAAAGGCAAATTTAAATAAACATATTTGTTTAGTTTGTTAAGTTCATTATTATTATAGTTATTAATTAAATTAATTATTTATATAATAATGTCACTTGTTTTACATTATAACATAATTATTATCTAAGTATTTGCACTTAAATCTTAGTTAAATAATGATAAAATATAGACAACATACATTGCTGTCTATATTTTATCATTATTTATGAGATCGACTGTCCATTATATATTGTCCTTTATGAAATTGTAATTTCTTTTTTTTTTTTGTTAATTACTTGTAAATAAATTTCTACAAACCATCAAGACATAGGATCTTCAGAATACTAGTTACAATTGCTAGTATGTATCATTTATCATAGTCATTAAACACAAGTAAATTTCAAGTACTATTTCAACGTGAGTTAATGAAGAAGTTAGTAATTATTGCAATGGTGTATTTATAGTTACATATATTTCAAGCTTGAGGTGTAAATGAATCAAAGTTCCTGAAATGATAAACTTCTGTTACAAATAGCTTAATTAATTCTCTTAGACTAGTCCGCGCCTCCCTATGTAGGCACGCCTCACAGTTTGGAAAACGCTGAATTAGAGCTTTTCATACGACGAGAAATGTATTAAAAAAAACAATTTGGAAAATTAAAACTAAATCGATTATATAAACCTTGATTACATAAGGATCAGTATAGTAATGAGATTTTTTCCATCTGATCAAAATTAAAATCCTCATTAATTTGAAACAGAAGCGAAAACAAATTCAACACCCTTAGGCAATTAAAAACCATAAAAATGTAAAATAAGAATTACAAAGTGTAAATCTAATTAAAATCGTTACGACGAAGGAAGAATGGAGAAAGAAAAAATTGTAATAATTAAATTTATTAATCTAATTACAACGTTATTTATCTAGAAACGAAAATGTGGGTCGTGAAACATGAACATGGAACAACAGAAAACAAAAAAAAAACGGCTGTGTTGTATGAAAGCTTTGCAGCGGTTTTCTTTCTTCTCGCCAAATCAAACGCTCTTTCTTTTGTGCATGTGCGTTGGAAACTGTTTTTTAATTAGTGGTAAACGCGTGACAACGTGTTTAAATATCAAAACACGCATTGTAATTGGAATTCCAGATACGAGCAAGAAGTACATGCAATTAGCCGGAACGTATACTCTTTTTTTTTTCTTTCAATTTGCCTTCTCGATTATGTACCGACATTTAATAATACAAAGGGTTGCAGTTTCTTTATTTTTATGGAACGAAAGTCGGGATTTAATTCCGAAAATGTATTACGTAAGCTTAATCCCACTTCATTCTCGCGTTTTCCTACCCCAAAAAAGTGAGTAACTTTTTATATAATAATCGTTTATTTTAGATGAAATGTTTGTATTATGTGAAGCTCACTTTTTCTAGCGGAGCTTGCTATTCATCTTTATTAGTAGTATTTCAGATTATGTAAAGAAGCGAAGCAATTTATTAAAGGATTTGCATGAAAATATTCGAAAAATTATGACGTTGTTCAAATAAATATATATTTTTTTAGTATATTAAACTATTGAAACGTTTTATGTTACATAAGACTCTGTTTTTGCTTTAAAATTACATAAAAATGATATGCAGAAATATCATAAAATTCTTCGAGAAATATGAACAATTTTAGATATATCGTTGAAATAATTCATTTAATTATTACCTCAATAAAAAAAAATAACAAAAAAATATCATTAAAACTTAAAAATTTAGAATTCAAATTTGCATATACTTTTTATATCATTTCAGATAAAATTCACGTAATTTGTTATTTGGTTACAATTATCAAAATAGTAATTTTACAAACAAATCAAAACAATTTAATAAAATTATTTGATCCCTATGTAAATTAATAAAGTATGTGTATATTCACTGAAATTTGTGTGGATGATGAAATGGATAAACGTTACCCTTTTTCATCTATTGACAAAAGAATGAGTAAAATTTCTATAATTGAACTCGGAATGGCTTAGTTGGTACGGCTGGAGCAAATAGTTTTAGTTTGGCAAGAGTACAAATCCAGCAGAGGAAATGCCAAGTAAATACCAATGCACCAAACAAAGGACTTCGATCGCTCTTTTTTTTTTAATAATTCAACTTTAAAATTTTCACTACATTAAATTGGGATAACTGAGAATGTAGATCTAGCACAATCGATCAAACCGCGATTATAATTCAAATGTATATTGGATATCATGTATAATAAATCTGTTATCCAAGGATCAAGTTGAAATTTACATACGATTGTATGTATGTGTCCGGTGATGTTAATTGCAATAAGAGTTTCCGCCCAAAGAAGATCGATAGCTTCATGAATATGAATTTCTCATTGTAATTTCGAAACGGTTTTAGGCAAATTCGCGGAATTGAATCAATCACGGTCTTCTCAAAACAAGCGGTGGGTTCAGGGCTATTTTACAGCTGAGAGAGTAAGGTTGGCACGAATTTCGGGTATCTATCAATTCAAGGAAGCAACTGTTATTTGTGGATTATCATATCATTTATATGGTTTGAGCGTATGTCAGAGGGAATTTATTGTTAGCAAATGGACTTTTCGAATCGACGAAGAGCGTGAGAGATTTGAAGCCAGATAAAATATATAGTGCACTGCGGAAGTGAAATGTATATATATATACATATACATCCAAGCTTCGGCATCGATCTGGGATTTATTGCCATTCGACTTTCCGCAGCAAACGACTTAAAATTTATTGAATATTATATAGCTTCCATGATGAATGGCTGATCGCAGATTGTCAGAGCCACCGTACTCTCTGTCTGTATTTGCAACACATCCCAAAGGTAAACCGTTCTAAGATAGCTATATTTCGTACTGGATAGTATTGATAATATAAAACCCTTTCTAAATCGCAGACTCAATCATTTATTTCCTTTAATAGCCTGTACATCCACAACTACGTTCTACTTTTCTTGTTAAAATTAACAACTTATCACAGGTTTAACAACATAATCTATTGTAGTTTGATAGTTGGAATTAAATAAAGAAATTATTTTCAATTTTTTTCGTTTCCATTTGAAGAAATAATCAAGTTTTAGCACGAAAATAAACAGATTTTTATGTTATCAACAAATTGAAAAGTCTAAAACAGCGTTTCTCAACCTATGAGTCACGTGACATTTTTGATTGGTCGCAAAATGACAGCTGTCACTTTGTGCCAACGTGAGAAACTGGTAAAATAATCTTAGCAAAAGTTGTATAACACATATGTATGGTCGCACGGCAAAACAAGGTTGAGAAACTCTGATCTAAAATACTTCTCTCTTTTTATAATATACATGCATAAATCTGTTTTTCCAACATATTTGGATACTACATGTATTTAGTCATGATTTTTGTTAAACCTATATAGTTTAAATAAATAATCTAATTAGAAACTGAAACTAATTTGTTTAAATTCACAATGATTAAAGTTCATAATCAAATTTTATGGTATACATTTGAAAAAGTAATAACATAATTAATGTGTAAAATAGGTAAATCATGAAAATAATGATCAATAAAATATCCAGCTAACATGTGTAATCACTTCAAAGTAGTTTCTAATAATCCACTGGATGTAATTGTATTTCCCTACATGACGATGTTGCATGTTTTCTTAATGAGTTTTGCTTCGAAACTTAGCAACTTAACTCTTGAATTATGCATAACATTAAATATTACGAACATATTTGAGATAGTGACATAAATTGGACTCATACACATCTACATACTTCATGACACAAAAACAGTTTGATCAATAAAAAACTAACTATAATAACACAATTACTTAGCTAATAATAATTGAAAAAGTATATTTAATTAACTACAAATATATATCAACATATTAAATAGTGTAATCATTAATTACCTGACTAATTTGAGATGTCCACAAGTCGCTGCAGCGTGGAGTGGCGTCCACTTTTCGCTGTCTTCGCTGTTGGCATTCGCCCCGTACTCCAGGAGCAGCAGCAGCATCGATTCGTTGTTATCTATACAGCACTGGTGTAAAGCAGTCAATCCATCTTCATTACACGAATCTGGATTCACACCCTTCATCAGCAATCTCCTAACTAATCGCAACGTAAACAGAACCAAAAACAAACCAGAAAAGAAAAAAAAAACACAGATCAGCAATGTATTACATATGCACATCAATCAATACGATTTTATTTCAAATAAATAAATTTATATGTGTAGAAACACACACATCTAACTTGACGTTTCACTTATGAGGGATTTTTATTGAATTAAATAAATTATCCAAATTCTTCTATAAACAAAACTGTTTTTAGTAAATTCTGTTTTTTGACTCGTAACGTTCATCATTTACTCCATTTTTATATATTTTTCAATATTATTTTAAATAAATGTTCATTATTTATAACTGAGGAAATAGATGGAAATGTCTTAAGGTCCTTCTTCAAATTCTCTATTTGAATGTTAATCATTGGAACATTAAAAAATATGTATAATTGAATCTGAACTTTATTCTTACAATACACTAAGATCAGGTTTTTGTTATTAATTCAGAGACAGAAATACTAAGAAAATTGTATTACAAACATGCAAGTAATTTAGTTATTTAAAAACGCAAACGGAAGAAACGAGTATGCCGAAAGTTGAGAACCGCAGATCATCAATAATGGAGCAGAGTGAATAACCAGACGAATTTGTTTTGCCGCTCGGTATTGTCGGAAGAATGCATTTTTGATGGAGATTGATTGGACGAGGTTCAGGCCCTTTTCACGTATCCAAACGTCAAGGAAAAGCGGATTTGCATTGCGGATAAAACCTTTTTAAAAATTCTGCCGCTGAAAGTAAAGTAAAGCGTGATGAAATAATATCAAATTCCGCTTCCGTGCGGCAAACTGAAAAATGCAACATGTGAAACATTAAATAATACACACGCGGGTGCAACGAATGCAAAACAAAAACAAAACTGAAATAATAGTACACGTCCATCGTTGAAAGTTCGATACGTTTTGATCTGGCTCGACACGAAATATTTCGTGTTTTTTTGATTGTATACATCCACGTTTCTATGGATCGAAAAATACATGTTATATTTATAAAGTGCAATTATAGTAATTGCAAATAATTTGTTCAGTTCAGAGTTAAATTTATTGGAAAAGAAAACACAAATATATTTATTAATTAAATGACAAAAAATAAAATAAAAATGAATCATTTTAAAATTCACGGTCAGTTGGAATTTAATTTGAAAATAATAAAGTATAAACATTTTAGGCAGATATAAAAACATGAAAATACCTTCTAAAGCAGAGTTTTTCAACCTTTAACTCAACAGATTTGTTTATAGTTGTTCTGCGACCCAATTGATAAGAGTATTTTACCAATTCCTCGCTTTGATAGCTATAATTTCGTAACCATTAAAAATTTAACGCAACCTAATTTTGGGGTGAAACCTATAGCCTGATGTTCTAAATCAGTGTTTCTCAAACATTTTGGTCCCATCTTAAATTTATCTTCGACCCCCCAAGTATTTTTTGCGACCCCGGTTTAAAAAAATAGAAGAATTTACAATATTTGGGTAAAAAGTCTATAAATAAACTATACGTGTTAATTGTTTTTTCTAGAAACTAAAAAAGAAATATGTTCGTGAATAATTGCAAAATTTCTATTCGTGACGATCGTATTTTAATGCGTGTCGAACATTTCTTATTAGACGTCACGTTCTCTCTTGAAGCTATATATCTAAAATGACTGAGTATTCTGTGCAGAAAGTATTAGTGGAATGAAACCGGAACAGAGAGAAACAATTTGGTGTGATTACGTGTGGCTGCTGGCAAAGAACTCACGAAAATTACATAATGATACGCCATTCTGTGGTAAACTGTGGGCTTTTTCTGTCTACAAAAGAAAGGAATATAGCAAAAAAACGGAAGTTGGTAAACATCGCACGTCTCCTTTTATCTTCGAGACCACACATCCCCCATATTCCAAGTATAAAAGCATCATATATTTTATTTTGGCCTGAATAAATATCAATTTTACTGGCAAATTGCGTTGTATGTTTTTCTTCGTAACACTTCGCAATTGGGAATTTAATTATAATAATATTCTTCTTCTTCCAATAATGAGCTTCCTTCTTGAAACTCCCTCACATTTACCTGGATCCTGTTGACCCGTTTGTCAGTCACATATCGGTAGGATCATTTACTATCTATAATAATTAAGCAAAGTGGTGAGTATCAGATCGAAACCTCAATTATGATAATCAAATTATGATATTTTTTTTACCATAAAATGATTTTGCTTTATATTTAAGATGAATAAATGATTAAATATTTCTCTCAATGGTAATTATTTAATTCATGAACCAAATTTCAAGTCTTTTCTGTATATGACGTTAACTAATACCTGACGTTGGGTCTATATCGCAAGCCCGACAACCGAAAGACCGTCTATTGAAAGCCCGACGTTCGGATTCCTGAGTGTATCAAAATCCCGACTACCATAATCCGAACAATCAAAATCCCGACTACCATAATCCCGACAGTGTCTTTTATTATTATAATTTCTACAATAACATTTTTAAATTATTGTACTATATTTTAATAGGTACAACGGATAAAAAAATATTTTTAAGACCTAGGATGGCTCTTTTGTCCGATTATTAATTGTTGTTATTTATTCTTAATAACAATAAATAATATTAACTATTATTGTATTTTTTTTTTCGTTGTCTTATTCATTATAAAACTTAATAAGAAATATTCTATAATAAAATTAGTTTATGTTATTAATAATAAATAACAACAATTAATCTTATTAAGTTTTAGATTGTCGGGATTTCAATATATTGGGGATTTTGATTGTCGGGATTATGGTAGTCGGTATTTTGACATAGTCGGGATTACGAACGTCGGGATTTCGATAGACGGGATTTCGGTTGTCGGGCTTGTGATTGTGACCGCCTGACGTTGTCTAATTTATCTAATATTTAGTTTAGATTCATATAAAATACGTCAGCAAAATGCAAAAAAGATAATTTCTGAATCAATACGAATACGATGAGAAGAATTTTTTGAATAGATTTTTTTCTTGCTAGATTGATGATGATCCTCCACTTGAAGAACCAACAACGAGCGATGTCAAGTTGTACGCTCAAGGCCAGAATCGCACCCTTCAAATTCATGTGATGTGACACAAGGGTTTTCTCATCGACATATTACAGGAGGCATTATCTAAATAATTACGGTCATCATTATGTACATCGTGTTATAATAAAAATCTTAATCAAATTTCAAATTACTTTAATCATAGTCACCACTAAATAATATTATTGTCATTTCCTCATGACCTTTACCTTAATAACATTTAACAGAGACTTTCTATTTAAATTTTAAATTATTGGTGAATCTTAATTTATAGAGAATAAATTCATAAATATAAATTGAAATCATAATAATTGATTTTGATGCTACAATTATAAAATATTAATGATGATATTCACGAAAATTCAATTCTCATAGTTATAATTTGGACGTGTTATTAACTCTTAACATCTCAACAAATAAAATAAAAATTCAATTTTATTCTATATAAATTGTCAATATAAAGAAATCTGGTTGGATTTTATAATAGTTGTAATTTTTTTAAATAAAATTTAAGCATCTTGATCTGTTTAAAGACTAATGAGAAATTCTTTTTAATTTATAGAAAAATTAACACATAAAAATACGACGACTATAAAATGTAATGTATTTATATTTTTTTTTATAAAAATTCCATCATTGATGAAATTTATTCCCAGAAGTGGCAGTGAGATCACGCACTCGAATTGACTCTGCAGCCGACCGACTACATTGAACACGGATATAAAAGTCACAGTTACTACAAATAATATGCATGTTAATGGAGAGACCCGACCGAGCCACAAATCCGATATCTCCAGTGAATACATTTTAACGGACGATCTGCATAACCGACCAGTTATAATCACCTTAGTTCATTAACAAAATTACGAATACACCTTTAAAGTTACTTTTTTTACAAGGTCCCAATAAAAAGTGAAACGTCCTTCAGTCGTGTTAGCGTGCGCGTTGATAATTGGATTCACCTCAAAAATAGGATGTTTTTCCTCGCCAATAATGAATAGCTCGTTTACAATAATAATAATAATGAATTTTGAACGCTGATAAAACTAGTTGTAATTCTGTGATAAGGGAATTCGTAATCCTACCTTCGTCGATATCATTCCTAGTTGCCGCCTCCAAAAGCACAACGCTGTCGTTGAAGTAGATGCTGCGCTTGTTGGATTTGTGCATCTTCAGTGGCTTCTTGAAGTACTCCTTCTCCCTTTGCTGCCAGATCTTGAGCTGCTGGGTCCTCCGCCTTTTGGCAAGGACAAGCCTCTCGGGAGTTGGCATTTGCTCGATGTGAGGCATCTCCGAAATCAAATCCGCGTGCTCCATGTTGTCTCCCGGTTATTTACCCCCTTTATTTTTCGATACTCCCCAAGTTCCCGTCTTCACGTGGATCGTACACACAGTTGGTTCACCTGAAACGAAACCGATGTTGTAGAAAAGCCGACCTGACTGCTTGGTAACCAGGAGCTCACTTAATTAACGTTCAATCCATAATTGTTTCAGTTTTGACAGTGAAAGATGCGTCAAAAGTGGAGAGAATTTGTGTGCGTGCACTTGATTTAATTGTTGGATGAATTGAAGAGCCAATATCAATTGTATTTTGTCGCTGATAGTGAACGCGAACGGTACTGTATCTTATCATTTATCAAACGTTACCTCTCCCTCATCCTCTCACCCACTCACTCATTCTCATACCCAACTTATTTGGTTTAATATTAGATTAACGTAGCTCCGATAATTAGATTAAGATTGCGTTTAGAGAACGACACGAAAACGCGTTTGTTAGTTCGATACAAACCAACCATTGCAGAATTTCCAAATACATATAAAATCCTTAATATTCCTCCCATTGTATCTCACGCAAAAACAACAAAGAAACCAACACAGAAACAAATAAGAAAACAATCACTCGTTCTATGTAGTAGTTTACTTGGAATTTTTGTACCCGACTCAAGCGTTGTCTACATTCCACTTTGTTTCTATTGCAGCTGCATATGTATAGATTGTTCCAGTTTCGCGAAGGAATCAATACAGGCCTTAATATCTTTGTTCAAAATGGAAAGAAAACACGTTTTGCGAAATTACTGCGCCGCCTTTCATATCATTACGTTTGAAACCGGAAACCTATAAAACTTTTGCACACTCGCACAACATTCTAATTAACTCTCTGGACACAGCCCATAAAAAGAATGCACATATTACAATACCTAATAATATTTTTATTCGTTTCTTTTTTTACCGTCGCGAATTTATTTAATTAATTTTCTTTAACTGAAGCCCAGACAATAGGAAAGACGTACTCAACATTCAAGGATAACTAGAGAATCGCTGTTGATTTAAGTGCGAGAAGGCCGGCAAAGTAACAAGGAGCAAAGTATGAAACTTATAAAGAGTACATATTAGTTTCTCATCCTTTTTTTTCAGTTCCCACTTTCTACACCTTCTTTTTAATGCCCATTAGCCACGTGAATAAATAATAGACAATTATGGATTATATTTTATTAGAAATAAATAAGTAAATTTAATAAAGCAAGTATAAAAAACTTACAAAGTATTTTACAAATCGGATCAAATTATTTGTTCTTTCCACATTTTTTTTTAAATGTATGCATTTTTGGTCTGAAATTATTAATATAATTATTGCTACAAATATTGTTATTAATATTTTAAAATAGATTAAATAAATACAAGTAAATTGATTTACCTCTTTCAATTAAAAGCAGATTTTCCCATTGTCCCAAAAAAAATCATACGACTAAGGAATTTGTATATCATCATTCATTTTTAAACTGAAACTTTAATGGAAATCTAAGTATTGATGTGAAGTCGAGGAGCTTTAGAACATCGTGTGTTTTTATTCAACGGAAAACTGCTATCATTATAAATCGTTACAAATAGAGAAATCACATCAGAATATCTGAATACTCAATGTACATCGAGACACCTAACATATGGCTAGACATTAACGTATATGTTCTACATAATGTTACATCTGCCATATTAACTTGATCAACTCATTCAATATTTCCTACATGAGACTGTACTTAATGACGAATCCAATCAAATTTAACAGGATTAGTTTCTCTCTTGATCATTATAATTTGGCGAAACTCATTATATCTAAGTAGAATTTGTATCATAATAAACCAATAATTATTGATCATAAGAAGGATACTAAATGTATGAGACAAACTCGCTGAGTTAAAATTCTTAAATTGCTCTGTGATATGAAGTTAAATATACATGATATTATGCAACAAAAGTTCCTAAATATTAATAAACGAATATATAAAAACCAAGTAAAATATTCCACAAAAAAAAAACAAATTAAAATTACTTTGATCTAAAATTCTATTTCTTATGGTAATAACTTGAGACATACCAATTTACTAAACTTTGCAGAGAGTGCTATTTTTTTTGCTCTTGCACAACTATAAATGTATATGAATTCAAGTGACGTACTGAGCGTAAATGTTAAATATATTTAACATTGGCAGATCTTATGACCTTATGACATTTAAAATATTTTAATTTTTGTCATTGAAAAAGATGATTTCAGTTTGTATGTAAGTTGACTCTTATTTAATAAATCAGTATTATTTTTGCCTATGAAAATTAAGTTTCGCTTAACGAAACGCATCTTATTTATTAATTGAGGTATGACTGTACATATTTCAGATTTTACGAAATACCGCTTATAATTTGTTATTGCATCTCTATTAGTATCAAAAATGATGCCAAAGTTCAATAGCGAATTAATTATAGAAAAAAAAAAGTTCGTATAAGTTGAGTCTTATTTAATAAATCTTTAGTAATTCTGACTATTAAAATTAAGTTTCGCTTAACGAAACGCATCTTATTTATTAATTGAGGTATGACTACATATTTCAGATTTAACGAAACACTGCTTATAATTTGTTATTGCATCTCTATTAATATCAAAAATGATGCCAAAGTTCAATAGCGAATTAATTATAGAAAAAAAAAAGTTCGTATAAGTTGACTCTTATTTAATAAATCTTTAGTAATTCTGACTATTAAAATTAAGTTTCGCTTAACGAAACGCATCTTATTTATTAATTCAGGTATGACTACATATTTCAGATTTAACGAAACACTGCTTATAATTTGTTATTGCATCTCTATTAATATCAAAAATGATGCCAAAGTTCAATAGCGAATTAATTATAGGAAAAAAAAAGGTCGGTATGTTATGTTTATTTATGCAGTGTAGATGTTTGTGAAACAGGAATAGTTGCATAAGAATACTCACAATACCAGCTGTAAGTTTCGTCCTACGCGTAGCACCACATGAAGGAATGTATTCTCTCGATATGCATTCCGACGTAGAGATAAAGTGTGGCTCTGGATTAACGAGCAGATACAGCAAATTACGTGGTTTTGGATTGAAATTCGAGATTCCTCCTTAAATAATAAAAAAAATAAAACAAATAAAAATGATAATCGTTGTACGAACGATATGATTAAACGTTCTTAATCTAGTAAACATATGTGCGATTGCGAAACAGAATGCAGCTCATTTGCTACACAGATCCATGTTAGATGAGAAAGGAATGTAAAAAAAAGCTGGGTCATTGACGGGGCCCCAAAAAATACCATCGCCTGTGGCGAAAATTGTTTCATTTATTTATCTTCTTTTCGCTACCTGGAGAGAGAGAGCTAATCTAGGAGTTATTTCACGATCGTTCGTTATTTTTTTTTCTGTTTCGTTTCCGCGTTTTTTGATCTCCAACTTGAAATATCGAAATTGGTATTCCGAAGAAACAGCATATTGGATAAGCAGAGTGATTGAAAGTAGTATAAAAAGATATAGGTGAATGAATCACTTATTATTTTTAAAATTAATATTTATTTATATTATATTTTGTAATTTGGAAGATTTCGAATGGGAAACTATTCAGTTCATTGTTATATTTACTATTTACTCATTGTCATTATGTGGCAGATTATAAACAATAAATTTATTTAAAAAAAGCATACTCTGTGAAATTAGATAAATAAAATAAGTACGTACCAAGAATGTAATTTAAATAAGGGTACAATAGAAAGAATTAAATTAATTAAACCAATGTCTTTCATCCAATTTATTTTTGTTTAATTTGTGTTATGTCTAATTGTTGTAATAAACATAAATATTAAGTTTAGAGTTAATATTTTTAGACGTTTTTAGTGTTTAATGTTAATTATTATTTCACGTTTTTTCTGTCTTTAGATAATTGTGAAATCAAAAGAAATTATTTATTATTATTAATGTTAGTTTTTGAATAAATTCGTAATTAAACCAAATAGTAAAACATTTTGATACTTGATTATTTCTAAAACAAATTAATGTCTATACTTTTATAACAAATAATCAAAAGAGTTGCTTAAGATATAATAATTTGTAAAAGTCTAATCAAGTTTGTAGAAAATGAAAACAAAAAACTGTAAATATTTATTGGAAGTCTATAAACATGCTTTGTTGGAATACTACAATGCTAATAATGATTGTATGTATTAACTAGTGTTGTAAAATCACTGTAGTCATGATAAGACTACCGACATATTCGTTCCACATGTTAACCTTGATTAAGTCCTCTTATCTCATTTTCTCGTTTACTACAAAAGCTTAACAAAGTACGTTCACACTATTGAGATTACTTTTAAAAAGTCTGGTACTTTACTTGGATATATTATCATTATAACAAAATGTAATTATTTGAAATTTACTGTTAGACTATATGAAAATCATATGTGTTAAATAATTATGAACCATAACATTTTGATTAATATTTAAAGAAAACTATAAAAATGCACAGCTACAATTTTAGAAATATGCTCTATTCTTATAAAACTGAGAAAGATATGTTTAATAAAACTGCAATATGATAGGATTAAAAGATTATAGAAATAATACATTTCATAATCTTTTAATCCTAATGTATTATCTTATACTACAATACCAAATATAATTTAATAAAATTATCAATTTAATAAAATACTGTTATAGTGTATGCTTATTTAAACTGTAGACTGAAACTATGCTTTATTGAAATATTTTATTTTTAATAATTATTGTATCAATTTTTTTTTTTCAAATATAGTTTATGATAAGAAGGAAATTGAACAAATTAAATTCATATTTTAATTATTTTGTCACTAAAAATTGAGTTTATTTTGAAATATTCAAGCCAGACTATATTGAATCCGGACTGATCGAAGCTTTAATAAAATTGATCATGACTGCAAAAATATAAATCACAACTTTTTTTTATCACAGCGAATAATGATGCAAAGAAGATTACCAACGTTTTTTCTTCACCATTATTTCTTTGTTTTAAAAAGTTAAACAGTGTATGAGATTACTTTTAAATGATGATTTAGGTAATTTTTTTCTCTAAAATTATTATTAATAATGACATATTTTAAAAGGAAAAAACGAAACATTATAAATAGAAATTTTACAAAACATAATATTTTCTGTAAACAGAATTTTACAATAAACTCACGTCAATTGGTAATTAATGAAGTGATGCGTATGCATACAGTGATTCACACCTGTATTTTATCACCGTCACCGTAATGAGATTTTCATAACAGTATAATTATCATTAATTATTGCGTTCGGTGAAATTATCTGCTACCTCTGAAATAGAATATTTCATTCAGTGGAATGTGCTGAAATAGAATATGTTCATGTAGGATTCCGTTTCGAATACACTAATGGTATTTATTACCAATTAATGAATATTTCAGTTGTATGTCAAAATATATAATTATTAGAATTTAGAAATAATTTATGATAAAATTAATCTTTACATTAAAATATTAATTCTGGTTCATATTGGGGCCAATAAAAAATGTTTAAATAAAGGACATAATAATTATGAGTATTAACTTTAAATCAAAGGTAAATAT